TCAGCCACTGTCCAGCCAAAAGTCTATTATCACAACACAATGTCCTTCAGTGTGCCAATAACTTAAGAATACAGACTTGAAATGACATCCCGGCCAACAAGATCCTGTCACCAGGGACCATGTCTCTGGCAGGGGAAGTGAGTGTCAGTAGACTGTGGCCAGACATGTCCATCTGGAATTTCCAAGACCACAAGGGCAGCTGCACTCCAAATCTGAAGCCAACTGGAAAAGAAACTAAACGGAGTGAACGTCTGTGAGACGGCACAATAGACCCGGCTTCTTCATGCCCCTGGCTATCCAGGTGTCCATTCTACCCCCCGAAAGTCTGAGGGCTTACAGAGCTGCATGAGGACAGAGGAAGAATGGGTGATGACAAAAAGGAAATGCTTTTTCAAAGGAAATGCTCACTGGAGCATTCCAGGTCTCAGATATTTGGATTAGGGATGCTAAAACAGTAAGTATATAATATTCCAAAATCTGGAAACATCCAAAACCTAAAATACTTCTGGTCCCAAGCATTGGGCTTCTCCACCTGTGTGACCTTGATACCAAAATCAAGTAAGGAGAGCACAAAAAAAAAAAGAAAGCTGCAGACAAATATTTCCTATGAATTTAGATGCAAAAAAAAAATTCACAACAAAGCATAACCAGGTTGAATCCAGCAATCCTAAGTAAGATTATTCCATGTATGTGAGGCTGGTTGAACAGGCGAAAGTCAATCCACGGGATCCCTGGTATCACCACTTAGTGAGCGGTAACGCAGCTTCTTCTGCCCTACCCTGACATCAGCAGCAAGACACCGCCATGGGTGGAAATGCAAGCCATCCTTCCATCCTGTTCTAGCTCCTACCTTAACTTGGGGGCCAGACCCCTGGAAATTCACACTTTCCTCCTTTCTGTGCAGAGCTGCTCACCTACAGATGACAGGGATGGCAGGAAATAGCATTCCTCCCTGACCTGCTGACCCAGCACCCACACGCTTGGACAGAGGCACACAGCCCATTTGTAGCAGGCTCCCTTAGCGCCCTGAACCAAGTCACCTGGCACCTCTCCTACCCCAAAAGCATCCTAGGTCTACCCAATTAACACACCAAGCAAGGGTCAAACAGAAAAGGCTGTCAAACTTCATCTTGCTTTGTTGAGCCCAGAGAGCCCTGAGACAGAAGCACCTACCGCAGTGAGTCCCAAGGGGCAATGCCTCCCGCCAACACTCATTCGTTCGCTACGGTCAAGGTTCAGGGGCCGGGCACTCTGGCCACATGTGGAACCCAGCCCAGGCCTCACTGAGAAGGGGAAGCTCTGCAAGGCCTTTGGAGCTTTTCAGCTTTAAAGATACACAAGCCTTTAGTCTGTACCATAAAACTTCCCCAATTCTGCTCCTTTTTCTATTAAAAGTTGCTCTTGAGAGTTTCGAGGTAAACTTGGAACACCCCAAATCTAAGTTCAACTACTGAAAGACTCCAAAATGCAAGTTCAAGTTCATCTGGCTTGGAAGTTGTGAGTCAAAGTGGTGTCACCGTGCCCTGTGTTCAACTGTGGCTTGGAGCAACCACATAGATTTGCAAGACGGGGAGGTGGGGCCCTGGAGAGATTTGCTAACTTCTGCTGACTTGCAGTATCTGGCAGGGAAAACAGGCCACCGCAGCATAGATTCTCTTTCAAGAGATTCCTACTATAAAGTCAAGAATCCTTAAACCAACCCCCCTGTGGGAACTGTGTCAGGTACACCCTGCCTGCTAGGTGGGGGGCACACTGCAGCTGGCACAATCATCGTGGGCAAGATTTCTCTGGGCAACACTGAGACGAGGCATGGCTCTGCTGCCCAGCCCCAGAGCCTTACGGAACGCAGGCCTCCATGTGGATGCTCAGGAGCCCATGTCAGCGGCTACTTCAGGAGCAAGGTCCCGACCAGCGTGCCTGCGCTCCAGTTCCAGCGGGCTCCCTTAGTGCCCTGAACCAAGTCACCCAGCCCCTCCCCTACCCTGAAAGCATCCCAGCTCTACCCAATTAACACGCCAAGCGAGGATCAAACAGAAAAGGCTGTCAAACTTCAACCTGCTGCTGGAGCACTCACACGCCGGTTGTGACCTTGCTCCTGAAGTGGCCGGCCAACGGAGGTGCTGCCACTGAGCGGTGTCGGTCAAGGTCAGCACATGACAAGCCCACCCTCCTCTCTGACCTCCTCCGTGCTCCCTCCCTGCCAGCCTTGCCACATAACTAAAGCCCCTTACACCCTGGAAGTCATCCCTGTGGGGCTCTGGGTACCTGGTAGCATTATTCCCACCCCACCCCTGCCGGCAGAGGACCTGCAGTTTCTAGAGCTTCCTTGGGCCCCGCTACCTGTAGATGATCCTTATTTTAAAAACTGAATTATCTTCTAGACTTTCACCAAGGTAATTCTTGGAGTCTTATTCACACTTTCTTAATTTCCCCTTTCTGTTGACCTCTTCCTGTTCTGTCACAAACTGTAACCTGCTAGATTTCAGCACTCGGTTCCTTACAGGGACTCCAGGCATGTGAGTCCCCACAGCAGCCAACACAGAGACACATTCGGGCTTCACTCTCTCAGGAGGTATGTCACTGCAGAAAGCTAGGAGTAAGAACGTTCCCGCCAGCCAGTAACACGACATCACTCAGGCCGCCACGACCCACAAAGCAGGACAACCAAAAGCAGGGTGGACATGGACAGCCAGCAGAACTACCACAGCAGCCCAACTCACCCCTCCCACTTGCCCTCCTCCAGCAGCAGCAGGAAACACCAGAGTCATCCATGGCTCTTGCAGCGGAGCGTTCTTTGTGCACACCTCCCACCTGATCCCCTTACGCCAGAATCCCAAACCCTTCCATGAATGGGCTCACACCTTTCAGATTGGAGAAAGCAAGATTTAACTGAGCATGCTAAAATACCTTACGAATAAAAAGTTCAGATTGCCTGTAAAACCACACAAGGTTTTAATGCAACAAGTGAACATGGGCAAAGGGTCTGAAGTTGTTCCCCTTTTCTAGACAAATGGAAATATTCAAATCTCCAAGGAGGTTCTGATAGATTAGCCTTTCTTTAAAAATACCTTGCCACTGACTGACATTCAAGAAATTACTCAGAAATTCAAACCTCCACCATAACAGTGGAAACCCAAGCACAGTTTCTTGAAGATACAGGAGCCTTAAGTGGATTGAAACATTGAGACAGAATCGAGGCAACTGCATGACAAATGCACTCCGCAGTCAAGTCAGACGACGAACCTAACAGGGATTAGCAGAATCCCAACACGAGAAGCAGGTGCGGGAGGCCACGTCCGTCATGCACACCTGCCTGGTTTGGAAGAACGGGTGGGAAATTGAAATGCAACACCCAGGAAAGCTGGGGCACAGTCGGCTTCCTGGCTGCCGTCTCAGGCGAGGCTCGGTGTGTGCCCATGCAAGTCCAAACAAGGAACTGTGGAGCCATGCCAGGCGCAGATGACGCAAGCCCGAGCAGCGTCCTCCCTACCCTCTGCAGCTGGGCACTTCCGGCCCTCCACCATGTTTCTGCAACACAGGCGTGGGCAGAGTCTTGCCTCCCCGCTACAGAAGCTGGGCAAGTAAGTGCCATAGGGAAGCCAGCCAGTTCCGCTCCCAGACCTGGAGGCTTCCCCGCCTCATCCAGCCCACCTAGCTCCTCCAGGTGCCACGGCCCCTCATGCAAATGTGTACGGGAATGCGTGCAGCCAGGCCACTTCTTCACCTCCATGTAAAAGCCTTTCTTTAGAGGATGATGTTACATATATTTATATATCATTTCCTCTTTATATATAAGACAAGCATTTACTCTAACAAGTCTATTCATCATTTCCTCCTCAAGCTCTTGAAACAATTAGGTTCCTTCAGGAGAAAAAAGTTTACACAAAATATAATTTTTTTCCTCCTGAAAAACTGTAACACTGAAGGGTAAAAGCCAACTCTGGGAAAATGCAGTGGGCCACACAGTAATTATGTCTAATGCTATGAAAGGGCCAAAGGGGAGAAGCCTGTCGTCCTGTCCTGGTATCAGGTGACTGTAAGAAGAACCTCCCAGACAATGAATCGCTGCATTTTACTTTGTTTCTAAAGCTGGCCCTTGGTCTCCAGAACAGAACGCGAAGAACCAAGCAGCCTCTGACTTTCCCAGTTTCTAGGCTGCCCAAGGAACAACTTTCACTGTCCTGCTCAACTTCGGGAGGAAGGGAGCAAGGGAAGGAGGGAGGAGGGAAAGAGGGAAGAAGGAGGGAAGGAAGGAGGAAGGAAGGGAAGGAGAGAGGGAGGAGGGAGGAAAGATGGAAGGAGGGAGGGAGGAAGGGAAGGAGGGAGGGAAGAAGGGAAGGAGGGAGGAAGGAAGGAAAGGAGGGAAGAAGGAGGGAAGGAGAGGAAGGAAGGGAAGGAGGGA